AAACTTTAAAACACTTCTTTTTAGGCATTAAGCTTTAGTTTATGTATAATTTCATTCCATACAACTACTTTAATCATCGATGTCAATCAATCATTATCTATCTTTGATCGACATTCGTGATAAGATGATTATTAAAAAGTTTGTATTTCATTATTTTTTTTCTTCTCATCGAATTGATTTTCTACAAAATCCACTCAAAATTGACAAAAAAACATCTTAATGTTTGATATTCTACTATTCGATCTCATGCAATCTATTGAGAGTAGTTTTGAGATTTGTTGTTCATCTTCTAGAGATAATACTTTTTGCCGTTCAAATTTTCAAACAAATACCTAAAATCTCCAACTCCTCTAATATGATGATTTTTTTGTTTAACTTCTTGAGTTTTAAAGAAATTTTAAAAAATTATAAACTAAAAAATAGTATAGGATAATGAAGCGAGTTTATCAATGTCTAGAATGGTCGTAAATACGTCGAAAAGTAATAATTTTCGACGATGACTAAAAATAAGTGGAAATTTTTTAACTCTCATGAAAAAGATAATGGATGGAATAAATTTTAGCACAATCAATGTCAATTAACGTCGTCACGCCATCCAATTATTAATGGACTAATAGTCCATTGTTATAATTAAAATCAAAATCAAAATTTGATACTAAAATTAAAACTTTTTAAAGTCAAATGATAAAATCGATATAATCCTAAAATTCAATAATATTTTTAATATAGCTTAGACAAAGAGACCCATGATGTCCTTAAACTTTCTAAAAAAAATTAATGTGATTCTCATCCAATTTTTTGGATCAATGTGATATTTCAACTCGAAAAAAAAAACCTAATGTGACCCTTGGACCAACCGCTCCGTTAATTCCAGCTGTTACAAATTGAGTAAATTATACCATTCATCACTCAACTATTTTCTTCTCTTCTATTTTGGTCACTAAACTCTAAAAATTTTCAATTTCGGAAATCCTAGAGACTTCAGGGACTAGGGCTGTAGTTAACCTATTTTACCCCTCATTTCTCTAACTTCTTTCCTCTCCTCCTCGCCGCGTAGCGAGCTAAGTTCAACAGAGCCTCCAAAGATTCTTAAATCTGTGAACTCCAAATCATCATAGGAATTCACTACACAAATGGAATTTCATTCTTCCATTGCAATGGAACGAAGTTAGAGTATGAGAATTTGGTGGAGTTGATGGAACAAAGTAATGGGTAAAAACAGAATAACAAGGTAAATGATGATATTTTAAGTAGTCTTTGTGGAGAGGATGGAGTGGTGTATGCAATTTTTGTTAACCGCTGGGAGCATCGGAAGGACTGAACCCAAGAGAAATCGAGTTGTATTTGGAAGAAATATTGTCATTGATGCAACTTGGTGAAGATTACACCCAATATATGATTTTAAAAATAAAGTTTTAGTAAAGCTTGCTGAATAATGAAATTCCATTTGTGTAGTGAATGAGTATGCAGATTTGGGGTGCATAGAATCAATCATGATCAAACACAATGTAATTATTTTTAACGCCAGAGAGAAAGAAAGAAAATCATAGAATTTGACAATAAATTTCAATACCCGAACTGACTTGTGTTTGAGCACAGGTTTACTTTTGTTGCTACTGATATCATTTTCTTGTTAATGTTCTTGTTTGTCGGCTTCCCTGATCTTTTGCTTGAATTCCCAGGCCAACAAGAACAACCCATACTCAATAATTAAATTTAACAAATAAATATTTCTTTCCCCTCCTGATTACCTCTACCTTTTTCTTTCACCTGCTGTTTTTCCCCCCTTTTACTTTCTCAGCTGCACAATGAGAGTTAAATGAGAAAGGAAAGCTCGGTTGGTTTAGATGAATGGTGGTCGGAGAGTTAAAGGTCACCGGCGACGGCGATGAAGCAGGGGAAGCGGCGGAGAAGATGGGTTTGGAGGAGAAAACATATGAAAAAAGGGTGAATAGAAAACATATGAAAAAAGGGGTAAATGGATATTTTATCCCTGAACTATTTTGATATTACAAAAAGACCCATGATTAGTAATTTATCTAAAATTTAAGGGTTCAAATACAAATTAAACCTTTTTACTAACACATCAAGTCATCCAACTCAAGCCAACTAACGTCTCAGTGATCATATCTTAATTAAAACGAGATGAAATTGATCATATATTATAGTTTTTGAACTAAGTGACCATACTTTTATAAAAACTAAACGAAAAGTGACAAACTATGTAGTTTACCCTTATTATTATTGTTATTATTATTATATTCACGGTTTCAGAAATGGCTACGTGTATGTTGGTTCTCTTTCCATTTGTTTATTTATTGGAAAAACTACATTAAATCCCATGGAACTTTAGGACTCATATTAATTTTATCATTGAACTTTAAAATATTTCAATTTAACATAAAAACTTGCTTTTGGTTTCAATTATAGTATTGGGTAGTTAAATTGTTAACAATGTGATGACATGTCTACCTCTACTCTCATGAACTTTAGTTATGTATTGATTTTTTCAGTAAACTTTAAAACACTTCTTTTAAGTATTAACTTTTAGTTTGTGTATCATTTCGTTCCATACAACTACTCTGATTATCAATGTCGATCAATCACTACCCATCATTAATCGACATTCATGATAAGATTACTACTAAAATGTTTGTATTTCATTAATTTTCTTATCATTGAATCGATTTTCCACGAAAATCACTTAAAGTTAAAAATATCATCTTATTGTTTAATGTTCTAATACTCTGATCTCCAACGGTTGTTTGTTGAAAGTTGTTTTGAGATTTTTTATTCATCTTCCAGAAAGAACACTTTCTACTGTTCAATTATTTGAACAAGTGCCTAAAATCTCTCAAATTAGAGAAAGCCTCCAACTCCTCAAATATGATGATTTTTTTTTTAACTTCATGAGTTTTAAAGAAGTATTCTAAACTAAAAAATAGTAAAGGATAATGAGATGAGTTCATAGATGTCTAGAATGAGATGGAATAAAAATAAGTGAAAATACTTTCATGAAGAAGATAATGAGATGGAATACAAAATTGGCTTTCATGTTATCACACATCAACACCAATCAACATCAAATTGTCATGCCATCAGACTGTTAATGGATTAACTATCTAATGTTATAATTGAAGTTAAAATAAAAATTTAATGCTAAAATTAAAAGTTTTTAAAATATAATAATAAAATCGATACAAATCCTAAAATTCAATGATATTCTTGATATAATTTACTTATATTTAATTTTAAGGGTAAAGTATATTAATGATCACTAAACTTTTCTAAAGCTTTCATTTAAGTCCCTCAACTTTTAAAACTTGCAATACAGTCCCCCAACATTTAGAGTGTTTGTAATACAATCCCCAACATTTAGTCCGTTTGCAATATGGTCCCCGACGTAACCGGCCGTTTGACACCGTTACATTGCCGTTAGTACGTTTGCAATATGGTCAGTGAACTTTTCAGGCGCTTGCATTTAGATCCCCCAACTTTTAAAACTTGCAACACAGTCCTCAATTTTATTCTAAACCCAAATTCCTTTTCGATTTCGAATTTCTTTTTTCGCTTCTCTCTTTTTATTTCTAGTTTAACTTTTCAGTTGGGGATGCATGTGAAATTCTAATCTAACTATGAATTATGTGGAGGTGTTAACTTGAATAAGGGTCTATTGAGAGAAGACCCGACCAAGGGACTATCGGGACCATCAATGATTCAAGGTGTAATGTTAGATACATGTCATCTCAGGTGAAACATAGATGCTCGATGAAATGCTTGTGGGAAAAAATGGGGTTAGATATGTAGAGTTGACAAATACTACTAAGATGAACTAAGTATCATTGTTGAAAGTCACCAACAAAGCTGGAATTATTTTTGTATAAATTACATATAATAATTTATTCGTTTAATCCTGTTGTTAAAGATTTTCCAACAGATGATCAAAAATAATGAAATCTCAAACAACACATTCACCTCTCATTCTCTTTCGCTTACGTGTACTCTCATTTGGTTTTTGTTCTTCAATTTTCCGCCATGTAAAATTGTAAACCCAAGTAGTGCTCTGTCTTTCTTTTTATTTACAAAGAAAAAATGGAGGAAGAATTGCTAGAACGCAACACCGATTGTGTTTATTTCTTAGCATCTCCCATCACTTGTAAGAAATTATTATGTCATTTATATAAAAATAATTTCAGCTTTGTTGGTGACTTTCAACAATGATACTTAGTTCATCTTAGTAGCATTTGTCAACTCTGCATTTCTAACCCCGTTTTTTTCTCACAAGCATTTCATAGAATATCTATGCTTCACTTGAGATGACCTGTATCTAACATTACACCTTGAATCGTTGATGGTTCCTATAGTCCCTTGGTCGGGTCTTATCTCAATGGACCCTTATTCAAGTCAACACCTCCACATAATTCAAAGTTAGATTAGAATTTCCCATGTATCTCCGACTGGAAAGTTACGTTGGAAATGAGAAGAGAGAAGCGAAAAATAAAATTCGAGATCGAAAATGAATTTGGGGTTTAGAATGAAATTGAGGAATGTGTTGCAAGTTTTAAAAGTTGGGGGACCTAAATGCAAGAGCTTGAAAAGTTCAGTGACCATATTACAAACGCACTAACGGAAGTGTAACGGCGTCAAATGGCCGGATACGTCGGGGACCATATTGCAAATAGACTAAATGTTGGGGGATTGTATTACAAACTGACTAAATGTTGAGGGACTGTATTGTAAGTTATAAAAGTTAGAGATCTAAATGAAAGCTTTAGAAAAATTCAGTGACCATTACGATACTTTAACCTAATTTTAATATTTAATTCCACATACCAATAATCAAACCTAAAGCACAATAAAAGCGTAAAATTCAATGATATTCGTCCCTTCATCAAATCTAGCTCTTGGTTAACTACCACGGCTAGTGCCCTCACTCTCTGATCTTCAAATTTAATATTTTCCGAATATCCTTTTTGTTTTTGTTATTATTGAACTCGAAAATGGATTCAATTCATGATTCAATATCAGCGGCGGCCGCTGCAAACGGCAACACGGTGCCGCCGTTTCTCAGCAAAACTTTCGATGTGGTGGATGACCCATCGACCAACTCCGTCGTGTCGTGGAGTAGCAGCAACAACAGCTTCGTTGTCTGGAAAGTGCCGGAGTTTGCGAGGGACCTTTTGCCTAAGTATTTTAAGCACAATAATTTCTCCAGCTTTGTCAGGCAGCTCAATACTTATGTGGGTATTTCTTTTCTTTTTCTTTTATGTTCATTTGTTTCCTATTTACTCTTATTTGTTTTTGGACTAATATCGCGATTTTTATACGTTTGGAGAGTAAATGAGCCTTAGCTCTAGGTTTACATAGACCTGCTTAGAAACTAAGACCACTAAGATGTATTTCCTTGAGGCTGATTGCAAATTCGTTGTTTGATTTATTTTTATTTTAGGGTCTGGTCTGGTTTGTTTTGATTTTATTTATTTATTTTAGAAGCCATATAGATGTTGGATCATTAATTATAGTATAACTGCTGATTTGTTGTGTGAGATGAAATTAATGGAATATGGATTTTATTGAACGGAGATATTGGTTTGCTGAAATATAGAATGGAATCGCCCCTTTAATATGCTAGTTGTACCGTTCTTGAATCTCTATAAGGCTTTACGAAATAGCATATTAGAGTAGTTCTTTAGCTTTCTTCGTCGGATCATCAATGGCGTGAGGATGATTGATTGAAAAGATGTTTTCCCCTGGAATACAATTGTGGAAGAATTGAGGTGAAATGCTAAAACTAAAAAGTGAATGCTTGTGTTTGTGATTTGGGGTTTGGCTCAAATGTTTCCAGCTGCAAGAGATCAAGGAGCAACTCTTTTTATCTTGCTAAATTTAGAATTTCGGAATGTGATTTTGCTGAAAGAATTGACTACTAATGCTGCTATGGAGATTTTGTTGTTGATTGATTCAATGAATGGATATAGCATGCCTTGATTTAGTGAAAGACGTTGCATTAAGAGATTCAGTATGCAATTTATAGGTAATTACTTCCCGGTGCAACTGCAAGGGCAGGTATCTATCTCATTTCTTTAATGAGAAACATTTATCTTGGATTTTCCGCTTAAATTCCTATTGCCATCCTTGGTTTCCCCCTCTTTTTGCTCTTATATCAGCTGAGATATCTAGTTTGGTGTTCATGTGTGTTATGTACCAAGTTCATGTTTATAAAATAAATTCTACCCGTCTTTGTTGCTTTTTTTTCATCCAAAATGCTATATAAACTCTGTAGATGTATTTTACAGTCTGTTTTATATTGTTCGATTTGGGCTCTTCTTTCTCTGTTCTTTCATGTTTGATCTAACTACATGTGTTTACTGAAATTCTATCCTTCAAATGCATCGGACTGCAGAAGCTCCTCTAGTCAGATTTCAGGTGTAAACACTTTCAGAAGTTCAACCACCTTCTGCGAAATCTTATCTTCAAGTGGAATCAGGTTTTTCTGCCACTTGTCCATCAACTGCTACTCATTTAACTACTGAGCATAGTAACGTGGATCAAATTTCTCAGACACGAGCATAAATCACCCAAACATGAAATTTTTCCTAATGTTTCTCAAATGCAAGGGGTTGTGCCTGATAATACTGTTGGACTTACCGGTGGAAATTTGGCAGGATCTGAGAGAGGCAATGAAGTGTATCTCGATCAATATCAGATGTATTGGATGGTACAATGCCAGTAGAAAGTGATGACTTTTCTGCCAATCATGATATGGACATCTTGCTGGATGGAGCCCCTAAACTTCCTGCAATTAACGACGTTTTCTGGGAACAGTTTCTTGCAACAAGCCCTCTCACTGGGGACACTGATGAAATTAGTTCGAGTTCACTGGAGAACGGTGCAAACGGGGAACAGGAAGCAGCACCGTTAGGGCAGGAGAATAGATGGGATGGGATTCAGTATATGAACCATCTTACCAAGCAAATGGGCCTCCTTTCATCAGATAACCAGACGGGGTGATATCCCTGTGTCCCTCAAGTTGGTTACATGCGTATTTCTTGCTATAATAAGGTAAAATTTTCAACCATCTGTTTACCATTGTTTATAATTAATGTAGTCCTTACGGGCGTATATACTATCCCAAATCAGTATATCAAAGAGGAAATGCTCATTTGTTTTTAATATTTGATAGTTCTACACATCTTTTACTGCGAACGTAACAAAAGAAGTGACTTGCTGAGATTGTTTTCTATTATCTTTCGGCTGCCAATAATTGATTCCATCTTTAATCTGATATGAGCACAATGTAATAGAAGTTATTGCCATTTTCTAGTATTCAATTTGCTATGTTTCTGTTTGCAGAGGTTGATGATGATTTATGATGCCGGGAAGAAAAGCTTGTGTTGAAAGAGAGAATATTTGTTGTTAAAAGGGTTATCTTGTGTTTAATTTGTCATCGTAGAAATACCGTATTTTGGTCCTGTGTTTGATAACTCAATGTTGTTGAAGATGAGTATTTGTTAGTGAATTGTTTTATTGTGACGACTTGTGCTATGGATTGGTCATCAACGGTTGATGTTTGCTATTCAAGCTTCTAGCTCTGTGTATTTATATGCCATACAACAATTCTTTAAACAATTAGATAATAAAAAATTTAGACCATTAAATATAATTACATGAATTAGCTGAACTAAACCATGCGTTTGATTACAGTATTGCTATTACTTCTAGTCCACGTTCACTAAACAATGAGGATTAACCCCTATGGTTTAGGCTAATCTATTTACTATATTGGGTTATTATTATTATTATTATTATTTTGGTTTAACGTGTGTATGTAGTTTTTTTTTTGGCCTAGTAGGCCATTCAAGTTTTTTATTTTGAGTTTTAGGGTGCCCTACTTTTTATTTTAGGTAATACAACAAATGTTACAATGTAGTTAGAACTCGTCATCTCGAAGTGACGAGCTTCTTTAAATATTATTTTTTAATAAACCTCGATGAGCGATCCCATGTGGGCATTAAATTGTTGTAATAAATGGACTCAGTCACCTAAATATTTTTTTAATATATATATATAAATAATTTAAGTTTTTAATTAAAAAAAATTAATGGAGGTGACGAGTTTCCTTGAATTCAAGAAATATAGCCGTTGATTAACGGGCAACAACAACAGTCACTTGAGTGACGATCATCATGGAGCTCTTCACTTCGAAGTGACGAGTTTCGTCAGATTTTCGAATCCCCTGGCTGTTTATAGTCGTTGGGATTGGGATTGAGGCTATAAATAAGGGTTTCGGGTTTCATCATCAATTGTTTCTCAGAGTGTGTTAAGTACACCTCCTTTTGAACAACGAAACCAAGATGAAGATGACGACGACAATCAAGGCCGACAACCCCGACGTACTCGATGAGCTCCGCACCATTATTATTCAACCACTCCTCGACATTGTAAATAACTTAGAAAATATAAATAAATTTTATTTGTAAACAATTTATTTTTTAATACAATTATTAATTTACCGATTTTGGCTGAATATCTATTCTTAATAAGTTCATAACCCAATTTGAGTGGGTATTCCTAAGTGAGAAGAAAATAATGAACTTACCAACAGAAAGGTTGAGTTTGTTAAACTCTTAATAAATTCAAATCCAAGAATTTGGATGGTTCTAGTGAGAAGGACTTATTGAATTTACCAAATAAATGAGGTTGAATATTTATTCTTAATGACTTCTTAGCCAAGAGTTTGGGTGGTTCATTTATAATGAACTTGAAGAAAGTCACCATACTCTTTGTGAGGTTGAGCTTTTATAAAAGCTCTTAATTATTTCATATCCCTGTTAAGGGTGGTTTATATCGAGATAAACTTGATGAAATAACCTATGTAAGTAAGAAGGGTTAGCCGCATTCTATGAAAAATGTTGGGCCATTTTTCTAGCACACTTACTAGAATCCTGAGGTAAGATGGCCAAATATATACTTTTGTATATATATATCTTACACATCGAGGACTCAGGTGGATGAAGGGGTTAGTTGTGTGTTATGAGTTTACCCTCATCTTAGAAGGTTCCAGACTAGTTTCACTTATCTAAGAGAAGGATTGCTCATTATCACTATGTACTAGTTTCAGATACGTTCACTAGTGATTAAGCAACTAATCTCACTATTGCTCTTCTGGAAAGTTTGTTTCGAGTTTCAGAAGAATTCTTTCGCATTAGTGGGGGAATGTTGGTAATGCTCAATCTCACATAGAGTTGGAAATACTAGTGGGAATGATATTTAAGGTTTACATTCTCCATTCCCTTGTTGAGTGATAGAGAACAAGGCGTGGTAATACGTGTCTTTGACACGTCCACACGGATATTATCTTTTTAGAGAAAATTCGTAAGGAATTTTTCTCTGAAAGATTAAATGAAAAATGTGAAAGATTCATATGATATTTATAGGCTACTGAGACTGTTAAAGTTCGAATATTTCAGATGATAATAATTGATTATTAGTTGTCTGAAATTAAATAAATTAAACTGTAATTTTCTTAAATTAAATCAGAATTTAATATGTATCTGGACTGATTTCAAGCTTTGTTCATGGGAGAGACAAACTGTTAATATCATGAGTTACAAGAGTTATCTGATTTAATTTCAGAAGTTATAACTGTTTAATTTTTATGCAATGAACATGGACTCTTTTTTGAGCCAAATTCATCAAGAGGAGTTACAAAAAGGGTTTAAATTCAGAATTAAAATCAAATTTAATTTGATTTTCTTGTTGGACGGATTTACCCTTACTTCTAGCCTATAAATAGATAGCTAAATTCAGCTTCTTAACTCACACTCTTTACAATTAGAATTCACTCTCCAAGTGTTTTATAAAGTTGTTCTCTCCGTGCTTTCCGATCAGAAGTGCAATACCACCAGCAGTCCACTCCGGTTTCGGGTGTACGGAATTCGGAGCGACCGTGTTAACCTCGGGGGACGGTCTGCCTACTGTAGCGATTACACACATCGGGGCGAATTCGTTTCTAAGGCAGTGGTTAATACCACGACACGGTTAATCGGTTCTTTATTTATATATTTCAATAATATATTTTTCCAGTCAATACTAATGCATCGTTTTGCAGCAGTCTATTTTCATAACATTTCCTTCAAAGTTCAACCCCCAATCTGCTACAAGTATGAGTTGCAGCTCTGTTACTCCAAGGAAAACAACTATTCCAATGTAGCCACCACCGGCTAATCAATCCAAAGGGCCTGAAATTGCTCATCAAGATTGTGCTTCCATTATGCGAGTGAAAGCATATTCTAGTAATTACTAGATGCATATACTAATTCTAAGAAGCACATTTATAAGGAAACCAGCCTTTAATCCCCTTCCACTTGTCAATTTGTCTTTAATGACACTTGGTAATACTTCAACTGTTTTATTTTGTGTTGGTGGAGTTTTGTATCAGTTCAGATCAGTGATTTAAATTGTGATTGTGGTCGCGTTTTGTTTATTATGATTGTGAATATAACGAATGCTATTGCGGTCATTATAGTATCGCGGTCGTGGTCTCGAATTTTTTCGTGGATAAAACTCTAACACACTACTTACGGATCCTGCTTCGAAACTTGTCCCTCAGGTTTGCAAAAACACCTCTCTTGTTTCTTCCTACTATAGCCCACAATCCTAAATATTTTTCTGGATCTGAAGTATTCGCCACCTCCAAAATTCGTTTAACCTCATTCCGATTCTCTTCGATTACGTTTGAGCAAAAGAAAATTCCGGATTTGTTTAGATTTATTACTTGCCCACAACTCGTTCAGTAAATATTCAAAAGCCGCTTTATTTGAACTGCTGTTTACCCCAAAGATAAGATGTCATCCGCAAAAAGTAAGCGTGAAATCACAGGAGCGTATCTGTTTATCCTTACTCCATTAAGAACACATGTTTCCACCATTCTTCTTATCAAAGACGAAAGTCCCTCGCTGCATATGAGAAATAGTCAAGGGTTTAAA